GAACTCACTTTGTATATTTGCTGCTTTTCTTTTCTTTTTTCTTTTTTCTTTTTTGGTTTTTTCGAGACAGGGTTTCTCTGTGTAGCTTTGCGCCTTCCCTGGAACTCACTCTGTAGCCCAGGCTGGCCTCAAACTCACAGAGATCCACCTGGCTCTGCCTCCCGAGTGCTGGGATTAAAGGCGTGCGCCACCACCACCCGGCTGTATTTGCTGCTTTTCTAAGAATAATAAATCATTCTCTTTCCTTTAGTTTCTGCTGTTTTCTTGGTAGCAACTAGTATCAAAGAGAAACAAATGGAAGCCTCAGAGATGCACATCTGGCCTTCTAGGGTTCACGTCCATTGGGTAGTATGGAAGACATCTTGTTTCCTTTCCTATGCTGTTAAGCACAAAACAGCTTTTACCCTGTACTCAAACTTGAATTTTGTACAGATAAATAACCCTTAAACAGGTTTTCTATTTAATTTTGTTTCTGTCCCCTGCTTATGTATGTGTCTGATTGTGAAGTGCATGGGAAATGTGTTATTAGAATATTAGGCTTTTTAAAATAATAAAGCTAGGACTGTGACAAAGATACAGTTCTGTATTTTAGTTGTCTGTACCTAGATGGTAATTACATGTATATCCCAAAGGAAATAAGTATGATAATATTATTAAGCCAAGGCAAAGAGTTCTTTATTTCAAGATAAGTTAATGTTCAAAATATGTTTTATTGTCAAAAGAAGGACGATTTTAATATACCATAATATTTGAATTTCTTGAGTCATTAGGACATCTGTGATGATTGATAGGGCTCACATCAAGGCATGTCATCAGCATAATTGAGCCTTAATCCTGAGGCTTTCAGTTCCTGGCTTTGCTGTTTGCTCAGGGTGGCAAGAAAGCATATTCTGTGTCTGGCATGAATTCGACTTGGACCAAGGTAGAAGATGTCAGAGAAATTGGACACTAACCCGCTGTGCCCTAGACTGTCACTGCCTCGCTACAGTGTTTACCTGTGTTGTCGTCACCAGGCCTGCCAATCCAATTACTGGCCAGAGCTGGTGTTGAGATGGGCTATAAATATGCAGGCCGGAGGCTGCCATGACGGGCCTGATTCCCTGGCATGAACGGTTCCTATGCCTAGGTCCCAGATCATCACCATGAAGCTGATCCTTTTGTGCCTGGCTGTGGTGCTCTGCACCTTTGGCAAAGGTAAAGAATTTAAGAGTTTTTTTTTTTTTTTTTTAAATTTAATAAGTGCCTCTGTACTTAATGCTTAGTGTTCTCCACTTCTTTCTTGTGCTTCAGAGTAGAGTAATATACAGGGATACATTTTTATTTCAGCAGATGTTATTTATGCTTTAAGAAGTGATCTCAAGTGTGTGTGTGTGTGTGTGTGTGTGTGTGTGTGTGTGTGTGTGTGTGTTAGCGTTAAGGTTCATTGATCATTCTCAGCACAGTTTATACTTTGATAACCATGGTTTGAGTATACATTCCCATTAAGTCTAGAAGGCTGCACTGAGCATTGTGGTATTTACAAATAAGAGCCACTTCTGAAAGGACCAGTCCATCACTAAGACAAAATATCACAGGGAAGACATTTTGTGAAGTGACCAATTGCTTAGATATTTCAAAAAGCCAGACTTATTGAAGGCATTCCGATAAAATTAAAAATTGAACAAAATAAAAAATATATTAGGCAGCAGTTTTACAGTCAATCAAAACAAAATTTATATGGTTTCACCAATCATGACTGTAGAAAAAAATTTTAAAGATAGAAAATTTTTTAAAGTTCTGGGATAAGTAAAAAAAGTCAGTTATAATTAAAGCTATAATATATATAGTGTATATATTATATATGTACAATATATAAAATGAAATGTAGATTGGCACTGTGTGTGTATTTCTTATAAGCTTTCTTAGGCTATTCTTTATTCTCACTAAAATAAAACTCATAAAATTGTTTAGCTCATTCTTTATTTTCATTTTTAGCTAATATATTACTGAGAAAATATTAGGGAAAATAAAATCAGGTAAAATTTAGATTGGAAATTTTTAGGTCAAGGCTGTTATGGGGAAAAGCCATAGCGCATTGACCAATATTAAATGATGAATTTTGTTTGCCACTGCATTTTCAAGACTGGGATAGTGTGACTTTCAGTATACAGGCCAATGTATTCCCTAATCACATGAGGGAAGTCTATTAAATAAGAAAGCTCCAAAATAATAAATTAGTATTGAAATGTCAGTTATTATATATAAAGGGGGTTGCTCATAGCAAAATAGAGGTTGGCAATCAGTACTGGCTCTTTGGTGGATGTGGATTTACTTTTAAATGAACTCATGGGAAAAATTTCTAATCTGTATATTTAGCACTTAAAGAAACATGCTATTGTCCAAAGAGAGCAGTAATATAAATACCCTGTTCTGAAGTGGCTTGTGTCTTGGAGAAAGAGATCTCACCTCTGATCTGTTGTGGGATTTTGGAAAATCATTTAAGTGGTATTTTTCTGGGTTTTGTTTGATTTTTTTTCTTGTTTTGTCACACAGAATAGAAAACTTTCCAGCTCATACTTCTTTAGAACAGTTACAGGGGTAGTGATTGGCTTTATATTACTCACATTGTAGTTTTCTTGAGGGAGGAAAAGAAAGCTGGAGGAAGGTAAATCTGTAGAAGGGTAGATACATAGATTCCCACATTCAGAAATTAAAGCCAGGGAGAGAAACAAGGGTCAATAAGATACTGTTTTTCTGGGTATTTTGAGACAGGGTCATTGACCTTAGAAGATGTGGATGTTGGTGGCAACTAGTAAAACATCAGGAAGCTTGATGCATCTAAGAAGAGATTTGCATGTTATTGGTGCAAGAATTTTGATGTGGATTATTAATACAAAGCAAAGGGGCTAGTGTTTACCCATTTGTTTATTTGTTCATTATTTATTGATCGGCAAAACATTTTCATTTTCCATATGTCTTCTCATTTATTTTCTCACAGGTGGCACAAAGTGTGTATGAGGTAATTGAGGTGTGGTGTAGGTGTTCTGGCTTAGGAGGGATCCATTGTGATGGGCTGGATAAAAAGAAAACGAAGTAGGATCAAGGAAAATCTGTTTCATTGATCTAAATACTATGATTTAGGCTTTGTGTATTGAAAGTGAAAAGTTAGGATGTGTCTGTTCTCTGGTGATAATGTTGTTCTTGTTGTTGTTTCAAGGGACTGCAGGTGTTAGATTTGGGAATAGAGTTGGCATTAGTGCCAACGCAAACTTGAAATCTGCAGTTGGGCTGAGCCCGAAAACCAAGAGTGCTGATGGAGACAAACATGACAATGTACCTGCTGGAGGTAACTGTAGTCACTGGACCTGGTGGTGACTGTATCTCTCTAGTTCCAATGCAGAGTTATACCTGAATTACTTACATTTGTTAACTTATGAAAACTGAGTTTTTTCAACTGCTGTATAATAAGCAATAAATCATCATAGACCAAATTTTAATAGTTTTTTTTGTTTGTTTTGGTTTTGGTTTTGTTTTTTATTTGCAAGTGGAACTGCTGATTTGTAGCTTAAAAGGGGAAAGCAGAAAAGGAAGATTCTGGTAAAAAGGTTCTCTGGAGTTTGTGGCTGGAATTCTTTTGTTGTTAGTGCTTTGCTGGCAAAATACGTGCAGTCAGATAACTTGCTGCGGAGGATACATTTTCAGTGACTTTGATATTGTTACCTAATATTTGTACACAAAACATTGGGATTCAGGAGTATCTCATTATCCTCTGTGACATTCATTGTTTTTATTCCTCAGATGAAGCCACGTTGGAAAGTAAGAGTAATATGGGTGCTGGTGTCGCCATAGATCTAAACTCCAAACTGGGATTGGAATCAGCTATCAAAGCAATCCCTTCAGCTCTTGCTAAAGGCAAATATCTTCTGGACAAGTTAACAGGCATTCTACCAAGTTTCAGCTCTTGAAGATTACAAGGAGTTTCAAATATGTCTTATATTATATGGGAATAGAACTTATATTAATATGAATAGGAAGACCAGGGACTTTAGTTTATTTCTTTTATTTTGATTTTCTGTTGGAGGTAGCACTTGGTATTCTATTCTGGAAGAGGCAGAGAAAGAAGGTTGGAGTTAAAACTGGCCTGGCAATTTCTAATACAAATTACTTTGGTGACAGTTCTAAAAGTAAACATAGAAGAAAAGCTTCTGGAGAATAGAGTGAAAGTGCTTGGGGCATCAATATTCCTTTTGAATTGACATTTAGTGAAGTATGGTGGTCTTCACATGACAATGCCTTTACCTTCTGCATCTGGTGTCGCTCGTCATTTTGGGTTGGATCATGATCATAGTGAAGCAGGAACTGGAAGCAGCAGTGGAGCTGGCAGTGGATCAGATAGTTACTGAAGATGTGTGGGCCAGTGAGATTTAATCCATGTCTCAGGTTACAGTCATCTGGGAGTAGGACTCTGCAAGCAATACTATCCGCTAACACTGTGTTTTAGCTAAAGGTCAAACTTTCACTCAAATTCATCACCTGAGCAGAGGAAGGCTTTATTACTCCCAAGGATGTGAGGCATGGAGGTCCTTAACATGGCTGTACTCAGGTCAAGAATATACTTTCACTTGGGATTTATTCAGCTCCCCACACAGAATGTAGGTCCAGGGGGGTCTGTTGTCATCCAGATAATTTCATGAATAGAGCTTTATGGATGATAAGGTTTCCTGAACATCATATGGCAACAAATTCTAATAATCTAGTAGAATTTTAGGATTATAAATGGCTGCAAACAAGAGAGAACTGGTTCAGTTGGATCATTTAGCAAAAATTACTCTGGAAACTGGCATTGATGTAATAAACAGAAAGTCTAATAGGACTGGACATGTGAATCTGAGCTGTGATGCTATGTCTGACCCAGTTTATTAAGCTGGGTCCTTCTGAGGATTTTAAATGGGTGTCAAACTTTAATAACCATTTCTAAATTTGCATTTTCATTTTCCATCAAAGAGAGTGAACCATTATCTCCAGATCTGCCATTAGAGAAGGAAAGTGTAGATGTGTTTGGATTTTTCTGTTTCAAATCATCTTTGACCATGCCTGTAGTCATGTAGGCTTTGAGGAAAGTGTAAAGACATGGTTCTGAGGGCTCTAGATACCCCATGATCTCCAGTAATCTAGCAGTGGACAGCCTTGTCCCAACACAGTGAAGTTATGAAGATGAATGCATAGCCAAAGTCAAGCTTGCAATTATGATTTTAATTCCCCAGGTGACTCAAGTGAAAAAAGTGAATTGCTCTCTTTATTTGGGGTTTATACAGATTCAGAGTCCATCTAAAGCCTAAGGAAAAACAGGCAGCTGGATCTGATGGCAGTGACAGGAATATAGAGATCAGCAGTGAGTCTTTGGGGGCTGGAAACTTGAGTGCTGGAAATTAGAATTCCAGATATTTCAGTGTCAGTATCCTGTCAGGCATTTCATGATTAGATATTTTTGATCACATTTGCATAGTACAGACCACCAGCACACTTTTAATAATCTGGTTGAACTGTGAATGGAAGAAGTAGGTAAACCAAGCCATGGACAGATGGGGCTTGATGGAGAGCATTTACTGAAAAGGACTTTGGGCCCATGCATGACTGAATGAAAAGGAGTCTACAGGAACTGGACCCATCAGTCTCAGGGGTGATGCTTTTTCTCACACACTCTACTAGATGGATCCTTCTAAGAATTTCAAATGGTTCCAAATTAATTGCTTTGTAATTTGCATTTGCGTTTTTTATCAAAGGGAGAGAACTAATTACTATAATATTTTTTTTCCCCATGGAGAAAGACAGAGTGAATGTTTTGGCTGTAGTGATACAGACTTTGATGTAAAGTTGAGAACAAATTCAGAATCCTAAGGAGGAGAGATGCCTACTATGGATTAAATAGTTTACCTAAGCAGTGTGAGCCCGTGACATCTAAATCCAGGCAATAGTTTAGAGCACTTCATTTATCTGAAAGTGAAGGAATTCAGGTTATTTGAATTGATCCTTGTGGAAGGAAGGGCAGATCTAAATTTGAACTTGAAATTTCTAGTTGAAGCTCATCCTCTGACAATAGCCTGTGCTCAAAAGTCCTTGGAAATCTATGCTCTGGGCTGGTGTTGATAATATTGTCTCACCTAGGACCTTCGGAACTATAATTATTATTGAATATGGTCCATCGGCTAAATTAATCTCATTCTGATTTTGCATGGAGAGATTACATTGTTCTTCAGTTTGGGGAGAGAGAAATGATACAGGAATGGGTCTGATGATTTTTCATAGAAAGACCACAATCTTCTGTCTTGAAAGACAGGAAACAAACAAGGATGGATCTAGTTTGGACGCTGTACTTTCAGTGTTTCTGAGAACAAAGAAACATGAACTAAAATATGGTAGATTATTATAGTGTTGGATGGTCAGGTGATGAATTTTAATTAGTCTGAATACAAAGTTTGAATTATTGAACTTTTGACCTATGTTCTGATGACAATCATTTTCCCTTTGACAGCAGAAAATTCCATTTTGAAAAGTTTTGGAAAATTACTTGGAGGAGCAATGGCCATTGCTCGTGGCTCAGGTAGTGTCTGTGTGTGACAATAGAGTCTGAATTTTGCTGAGCTTCCAAACCCTTTTTGCTTGGCAGTTGAATTATTTGCCAGTTGTAAAACCTAGGCTCCTAGGTAGAGGCCTGGTCAAATGCAGGGTAGAGTTATGGTTGGTTGTGGATCTGGGTTCAAGTCCTTTGCTGACAATGATCTTAGTGAATGTGGAAGAAAATTCCTTTGACAATGTAGAGTCTGGAGTTAGTTTTCTGTCAGTTATTTCATGATCAATTGTTTTGAACAGGTTTGCATAATATGGTTTACCAAGAGCCATCTAATAAACTGTTTGTGAATAGAAGAAGTGGATGTAGAGCATTTGCTAAAAAGTACTTTGGGGCCAGGAATGGTGGAAAGACCTGAATTCTTCTGGAACCAGACCACTGAGTCTCAGGGCGTTGCTACTGAATTCCCCTGATAATAAGCCAGGCCTTTCTGAGAATTTTAAATAGGTTCAAAACTCACTGTTTTGTCATGTGAAATTTTATTTTCTAGCAAAGGGAGAGAACTGGTTTCTCCAGTTTTGCCCCTGGAGAAGGACAGATGGAAGTGTTGGCTTTGGTAGTATAGGCCTTGATGAAAATGGAGAATGTGACTTTCAGGGCTCTAGGTACCCCCATGATCTCCAGTAATTAAGCTCTGAACACACTTGTCCCAACACAGTGCAGCTGTGAAGGCTGAGCACAGCCAAAGTCATCCTTATGATTATGATTTTACCTTTGCCAGGTGACGCAACTGCAGAAAGTAAGCAGCAATCATCACTTGGAGTCGTCACAGCATCAGGAGGTGATCAGAAAGTGCAGGGTAAATGAGCAGCTGGGGTGGTGCAAGTGACCAGAATGCAGAGATTAGCTGTGGCTCTGCAGGGGATGGAACCTTCAAAGATGAGAATAAGAGTGGCATAGGTTTCTTGACCTACATTCCACTCCATGGATATCCAGCTTACATCATGTTTTTGTTTGTTTGTTTGTTTGTTTGTTTGTTTTTCAAGACAAGGTCTCTCTGTGTAGTCCTGGCTGAACTGCAACTTGCTCTGTAGACCATGCTGGTGTTTGAACTCAGAAATTCACATGCCTCTTCCTCCTGAATGCTAGAATTAAAGGCATGCCTGACCACCACTCATTATAGCATGTACTTTTATTTTACATTTCCTATGGAGGAAACACTTGCTCTTATCACGTCATTCTGGATCTGTTAGAAAAAGAAAGGAAAGCTGAAATTAAATTCAGACTTGGACTTTGAGTCATATTCGTTTGCTGACAATGAATTTGATGTTTCCTTCCTCAGAACAAATATTTGAGTTGACGTGCATTGGATGTCTTTGCTCTTAAGATGTCAATCCTGACACTCTTCAGGTGGCATCCCTAAGACAAAGAGAGTAACAGAGTATCAGGGCAAAGTAAGATTGGAAGAAGGAGAGATGCCTGCAGTAGATGAAATTGTCTGCCTAAATGTGTGACCCAGTGGGATCCAAATCCAGGCAATTGTTTAGAGCATTTCATTTCTCTGGAAGGAAAAGGATTCAAGTTATTTTCATTGGCCTTTGGAGAAGGAAAGGTCCAGCTAAATGAAGTTGAAAGTTCTAGTTGAAGTTCATCCTCTGACAAGAGCCTCTGCTCAAAGGTCCTTGTGATTATTTGCTCAGGGCTGGTGTTGATAATATGTATTGTCTCACCTAGGATCTTTGGAAGTATAACTGTTATTGAAAATGGCATGGTGGCTAAATTAATCACATTTTGATTTTTATGGAGAGACCACATTGTTCTTCTGTTTTGGAAGAGAGAAAACACACAGGGATGGATCTAGTTTGGATACTGTCCTCTGTGTCAAGTCAGTGTTTGTGAAAACAGAGAAGCCTGAACTAATAGGTGGTAGACGATGTAATTTCGGGTAGTCCAGTGCAGATTGTTTAATTTGTCTGAACACAAAGTTTGAATAATGAAGTTTTGACCTAATCTGATGACAATCATATCTGTTTTACAGCTGAACCCCCTGAGGCAGATACATCCAACATGTTACAGATCTTGGAAGCAATAGTTAACAACCACAGGGCCAATGCTGGCACCTCAGGTAGTCAGTGGCTGTGTGGGGTCTGGTCAAATGCAGGGTAGATTTGTGGTTGGTTGTGGATCTGGGTTCAAGCCCTTTGCTGACAATGATCTTAGTGAACATGGAAGAGAATTCCTTTGACAATATTGAGTCTGGGGTTAGTTTTCTGTCAGTTATTTCATGATCAGATATATATTTTTTTAATCAGGTTTGCATAGTACAGTTTGCCAACAGCCTTCCAATAAACTTGCTGAACTGTGAGAGGAAGAACTGGGTTTAGAGCATTTACTAAAAAGTACTTTGGGGCCAAGAATGGTGGAAAGACCTGAATGCTTCTGGAACCAGTCCAATGAGTCTCAGGGTTGATGCTATTGCATACCTACTACAATGACTGGGCCCTTCTGAGAATGTAAATAGGTTCAAAGCTCACCTTTTTATAACTTGCAGTTTTCATTTTTCTATCAAAGGGAGAGAACTGGTTTCTCCAGTTTTCCCACTGGAGAAAGACAGATGGATGTGTTGGCTTTGGTAGTATAGGCCTCAATGAAAATGGAGCATATGTTTCTGAATGCCCTTGATACCCCAGTAATCAAGTTCTGAACATACTTGTCCCAACACAGTGCAGCTGTGAAGACTGAGCACAGCCAAAGTCATCCTTATGTTTATTATTTTACCTTCGCCAGGTGACGCAAATGCAGAAAGTAAGCTGCAATCATTACTTGGAGTCAACACAGCATCAGAAGGTGATCAGAAACTTCAGGGTAAATGAGCAGCTGGATCTGGTGTAAATGACCAGAATGCAGAGATTAGCTGTGGGTCTGCAGGGGATGAAACCTTCAAAGTTGAAAATAAGAGTGGCATAGGTTTCTTGACCTGCATCCCACTCCATGGTTATCCCACTTACAGCATATACTCTTACTTTAACTTTCCTATGGAAGAAACACTTGCTCTCATCGTCTGGTTCTGAATCTGTTAGTAAAAGAAAGGGAAATTGAAATCAAATTCAGACTTGGACTTTGAGTCGCATTGGTTTGGTGACAATGGATTAATAAACTTAGGATAAAGGACTCTGAATCGTTCAGTTATAGTGTTTCGAATGTTGATGTTTTCTTCCTGTGAACCAACTATTTGAGTTGATGTGTATTGAAATTTTTTTTTGTCTTAAGATGTCAATCCTACATTCTTGTGGGGGCATCCCTAAGAGAATGTAAACAACCAAGAACCAGGGCAAAGTAGGACTGGAAGAAGGTGAGATGCCTGCAGTGGATCACGTAGTGTGCCTAAGCTTATGATCCATTGAGATCCAAATCCAGGCAATAGTTTAGAGCATTTCATTTCTCTGGAAGGGAAAGAATTTCTCCAGCTTCAACTATGAAGAAAGAAAAAGTACATGTGTTTGGATTTGTGGTTATTCTGATTTATATAAACTTCATGGCTATGGTTATAGTGATGTAGACTTTGAAAGAAATGGGTGACATGGCTCTTAGGGCTCTAGATACACTGTGATCTGTAGTAATCTATCTGTGAACATCCTTGTCCCCACACAGTGGAGGTCAGAAGAGGGATGTATAGACAAAGCCATCCTTCTGATTACGATTTTACCTTTGTCAGGTGTCTCAGATAGTCAGCACTCCTCAGTTGGAGTCACCACAGGTTCAGAAGGGCATCTGAATCTTAAGGATGAAACAGCCCCCGAGGTTAATGGAAATGAGGTGGATGGACAGAATAGTAGTGACTCTTCAGAGACTGGAAGCATGAATGTTGGAAATAAGAATGACTCAGGTATCTTGACCTGCATTCGATTCCTAAAATATCCTAACAAGTAGCCTCCTTCATCATTTCTCTTAATCATGTTTGATTTTTCCATCAGAAAACCACAGTTTATCTTCTGTGTCTACAGGCACCAGCGTTGCTTCTCCTGGACCACATGACTCTGCTGGCTCTGTTGTTAGTGGCCGATGTACCTGTTCTACTGATTGATGAGCATATGTCTGGACCTGTTTCTGTTCCTTGGCTATTTAGAGTCATTTCTCATTGGAAAAAATCATGATTTTTGAAATTTATCTTTAAAACAATGAAAATCATCGTAATTTACAATCAAGTCAGAATTTTGAAGTCTCAATCTATTTAGTTGTTATCAGGTAGAAGGCTTTTTTTTTGTTGGCATATAAGGCGCCAGGGCTTATGTCTGTTTCCTGATTTGTCTTCCTTCTAAAGTGATTTGGAATCTGCTATAGTAGTTAGTGTCATGTAGGTGTGTTTGGCTTAATCTTTATATCCTAGATGTAGAGTTGATTGACTAAGTAACTTTTGCAGACACATGTTGGAGATGCATGACCAAGTTGATCCCTATGTGCAATATTGTAAGAATTCTATAAACTGTTAAGATAATATTTGTGACTGATGTGTCATCTACTTTGATAATGTTAACCATTGGGAATTAGTATAGGAAATGTCCCTTCACACCAATATGGGCTTGAGATCTTCTAATGAAATGAGTATTCAGAGAAGTATTCAGTATTCATTAGAACAGGATATTATTAATATCTGGCTACAGTGAGAAATCTAAAATCAAGTGATATGTTATACTGTAATAAATTTGACTTTAGCTCAGGATTGATTATGAATGAATCTGCTAAAAAATGGCTTTGTCATAAAGCAATGAAACTGCTGTATTTTAGTTCTTCATCTTTGGGTATAAAAATTTATAGTCATCACATATATCAAATTAATAAAATTTAAATCATTATCCATTGTCACTTATTTTATTTAATTGTGATTTGATGGAGGTAGTCAAAGAGACATTGAAGTTTTGTATCCTGTGTTCATTGGTGTGAGTTCAGGTATATAGCTTTGCTTTTGTTGTTGAGAAATATATTGAGAATTAACATCTTTTTTTTAAAGCAAAGTTGGAGGTTATTTAGAACAGGTTCTGGCAAATTTTTAACTGTGGTCATTAAGGGAGAGAGTTTGGTGCCTCGGAAGAGTACACGTTTGAAAGTAGGGTGTTGCTTCTCAAGAGAGAATGACATTGAAGTCTGTCTATCTGCCTGCCTATCTATCTGCCTGTCTGTCCGTCTATTGATCAATCAGTATCAATATCCCTCGATATCTGATTTTTGTGCTTTTGAAATTACATTGTTCAAAGACATTAATGATTATGTAAAGTACCTTGAAAAAATTTTTATCTATGAAATTTTTCTATAGCAAGTGACATAAAGTGGTTCATATGTGCATTGGATAGAATTATAGACTAGTAAGATAAAACCATTCATCAAGTGCCTAAGAAATTCTCAGTAGATGCTTATAATTTTGTTTCTGAAATGACCTCAATTTTTAGCCAGCATAAGGGAGTGGTTTCTTTCCTTTTCAATGTCTCATTAGCTTGTCTTGTGACTCTAGCCTGCATTCGTTTCTTTCAAACTTTTTATTTTCTCTTAAGTGTTGTTGATGACTGAAGTGCAGTTTTGTTTTTTTGAAACTTTCTATGGCTGAATATCATTGTAGATCCTATGTAGGCATCAAAAGTTTTGACATTTCTGATATAGGGGAAACATGAAAAAGTTGAATCTCAGAGATCAGAGGATGGTCATTCCATAGGAATCTGGGGAAAGCAAAAGTAATCATCATTGTAGACAAGAAAATAAAAAATATACAGTAGACTGATTGTTGTGTCCAATCCTGAAATTAGCACTAAAAATAGGAAGACTTTTATCTATGGTGAGTTAACTAAGAATGTTGCTGGTAAACTATTAAAGTGGAAGGAAATATTGGATGCATTTGCCTTCGATGTGTACATCTTGGGGGACTGAGGATACATTTCTCAAGGTGCCAGGTGTGTTCAGTCAGGGCTCCATTTTAAAATGGCATGGGCTTCCCTTGTGTTGTCAGAAGATCAAGGCCACCTGCTTTGTAGGAGGGCTGTACTCATTGGTTTAATATCGGAGTTTAGGAGTGAGAGCCCTTTGGCTGTAAAGTTAGAGGACTTTTGTCTGCTTATTTTTGTTGCTGCTGTTAGAGGTCCTATCTGTCATATAACACCCTCAAATTCTTGTTGAGGAATAAATATGGAAGCTAAATGGTTATACCAGTGAAAAAAACAGATAATGTCCAACTATCGTAAAATGAGAAGACCTCCAGGGTAGTTAATAATCTTTAACCAGGGACTTTTCCTTATGCCAAGTGGAATCCTAATGTACAATTCTCTCCAATACATGCTGGGGCAAAGCTCACACAGAGAATGTTTCCAATAAACCAGTTAGTGCAAATAGAAATAACTCACATGATTCTAGATCTCCATGTCTGGCTAACAAAGACAAACCATTTATTTTCTCTACTATTTTTATGGTCGATTACTGTTTGTGGCAGGCATCCACTCTAACCACTGGGCAAAGTTTCCAAACAAAGGGGAGCCAAATGACAGAGCTGACCTTTCACAGGAATGAACTGAATGCCGCCATCTTAAATCTGAAGTTGTCCTTCCCGACCATCTGGTAAACCTTCAGACACTATATAGGAGATTAATTTTATTGGGGTCTTAGCCACAACCCCTGTTTGGGGTGAATTTCTGCTAAAGAAAAAACTGTCCCTGGGCCTGGTTTCAAGAACAGTAAGATTTACTGGCCATAAACATTAAAACTTGAAGCTATTTAAAAGATGAAAGACTTTTGTTATTCATCCCAAGTTAAGTTCTACTGCTATTTCCAGTCATGATTCTGTAAAGACACCCTAAAACCAGAAATAGTAAACAACTGAAATCCACAAACTCATCAGGCTTCTTCCATAGTATCTCTTAAATATTGCCATGCCCATTCTAAAAGGAAATTAGTTTCAAGGTAAACAGGGCTTACTGAAATCAATTAAAAAAAGATGTTAAAAGCTAAAAACCTAAACATGGTTATGTATTGAGAATATAGTTAGATACAAAAGAATGATTTCTGTTTACCCAGAAATATTTATATCCTTTGAGAGGTATCTGAAAAAAATCAGATTGTCAATCCTGCCACACACACCCCATCCCTGGCAGAATGTTTTTGCTGGGCTAAGCAAAGTCAGTAGTTTGATCTCAATTCTGAAGTTGCTACATAGTGGACAGGCCATGTCATGTGACCAGAATAGTTTAGTGCTGTGGGACCGAAGCTGGAAGATCAGTTCCCACATTTTATGACAGGGTACTCTTGAGGAGTGAAGGATAAGGTATATTAGATAGAAGTATAGATGCGGGAGAAACAGAAACACAGGATAGCCTTGAGAAGGCCTGGATCACTATCCACCAGCCCTTCCTGTCTCTTCTAAAGGGCTATTTATAGGAATTCCAAGGGGTGGAGCAAAAGACCTCCTCCTAGCACAACCAAGCACAGACCCTTCCAATCACCTAGTAACCATGCACGTGGTCAAGCAATCATCTAATGCAGCTCTGCTGGATAAAGCAAGCTCAGATCTTACTAGGAGAAAACTTTGTGGACCTCCACATTGTGCACCTCTTTCCAGGTGACTCAGTTATAATTTCCACTGACAATTTCCAGTGCTCTGCTTTCAGCCACAGAATCTAATAGTTTCCCTTGATTCTAACAGCCATTTTTAGTCAAATCAAAAAGTTGGCCTTTGAATGTTCTTTCAGTTATGAGCGAGGACTGTAAATACCACATCTTTATCACTTTGCCCTATAGAAGGCAAATGGTTTTCTTTGCATAAATCATTAACTCTTCACCCCATGGCTGATAATTGTAAATCCTTTAAACATCTGGATATTAAGGGTTCAGTAAATCTTTTGGTTTGGGGTGTTTCTTTTAACAATTGGTTACTATATAAATTCATTTGGGAAGGAGTCCTAGGTTGTCTGTTCTGGCAGAAAACAATCCCCCCATAAATGGTTTTCCCCAGTACATAAAGTTACACAAGGCATCTCAATGATGGCCACTGTCACTTGAGGCAGGCTTCCCTAGGAAATACTGGACAGCTGTAATCTCCCACAATATCCATCATTGTCGTCGAAGGACTCCCCTTTTGTGGAGGGGCAATGTCCTGAGTTCCTAGAAGTCCATCCAGGGAAGTTCCTTTTCAGTACCTTGATTTTCCACGGCAATGTTAAGCATCAGCCCTTTCAAAACGTTTTTATTTTATGTTGGTTTCTCTGAGGGGCCTGTTTGTTTGCCTGGGGAAATACATTTGTCCCAGGGGCAGGGCTATCACCAGGCAGGCTTTTTCTTGTGTCTGTGACCATTTTTCCTGGCACTTTGCTTGTGCTTTATCACCATTGTTAACACTCCAGAAACCAAATTTAAATGGCATAGGTATAGCCAGACATCTTAGTGTCTGCTTTTGAAGCTCCTTCCTAATGTCTAAAGAATATTGGCTGATAAAATATGTTCTAGCTGATATGTTTCTCCACGCCCCCCCCCCCCAGATAATAAGTTTCCCTACTGACACAGTACACCAGATCAATCCACATGACAAGCATGACAGCAGGCTTACTGAGAATAAAGCAACTCCTGGGCAGGTTCACTGGTCTTAGGGAAAGAGGCTAGAGAAGTTGCGCCCCAAGGCAAGCAGGGAGTTTTTATAGCTCTTAGGCAAGGGGTGATGACTTGACAGCCAGGAGCTGGCACTGTTCTTAATATTGTCAGAGGCTAAGCCCCTGGGCGGCTTGGGTGTTTTGGTCACATCAGGAAGATGGGTTGCAATGGCTGGTAGGAATGCTGAACTAGGCTTTGGGTGCCATTCCTTGTTCAGAGTTTTTCAGTGTGTGTGTGTGGGGGGGGGCGGGGAGTAGTGCAGACAGGGTTTTCTGGATTGTGCAGGGGCAAACTGGAAGCTCCAACCAAACACAAGCAATATTTAAGCTTAGAAGAATTTAAATAATAATTTTTTGAAATATAGCCATTTAAGCATACATGTGTAATTTTAAAATATTTATTTATTTATTCTTTGTGTCTTTCACATTATGTATCTTGATCCCAT